TACTGAAGTACTGGACAACATCAGTAACCACTATGTTAAGACTGCACAGGGAAGCCATTGAAATCCATAAACATAAACAGAATTTCAACAAAAAAGATGAAGGCCTAAAATGAAACGCGGCCTGGCTCCCAATATTGAAAAATACAGCCTGTAAAAGGTCAATGAACTCTAACCAGCCACAAGGACCAGGGAACATTGCACAAAAAAAGACCAGCCAACAACACCCATCAATCACAGTAACAGATAATCTCCCCATCCTTATCACAACAAAAACATGCTGATCACCCTATCTCCTGAAAAAAGACAAAAAAATATTCCCACAGCTATAAATACTCAACTATCCAACAAACAGCAACAGAGCACGGACAGAGTTCCTACTCCAGTCCTCTGAAGAAGCCGGCCACAGAGATAGGGGAAACGTCAGGAAGAACAACCTTCAGAACACGGCCAAACAGCCCAAAAAACCCACAACAACCCATCATTGTGTCTTTTCAACCTGTATTTTGTTGCAGCACTTTGTTGCAAGATGCACCTGCGCTTGAGCAAGGGCACTTTTATGATCTTTCCTTGCTCCTCCCCTTGCCCTTCTGGCTGACTGCAAAGGACAGAAGAGGCCTGCAAGGTCAGGAGGACAATGGGGCCCTGATTAGAGTGCTCCCTAAGTCCTTTAGCAACTCATTAATCAAATTTGTAACTCCTGAAAAGGTTAGCTGATGCAATTCTCTGGGAAACTGAAGCCTACAGCCTTGACCTTTTAATTCCAACTGACCTTTGGACAGGTCTGTTTTTAAACCTGTTTTAGACCCCATTCTGATCCCCCCATAATTTTAAACTTACTGGCTTTAGAGTTTTTAGAACTTTGGCAAAGTTTAAATCTAGATTTTAAATTTCAGTCCAGTTTAAGCTTTCGGCACTAACCTGTGTTTCCCCCCCACACTTCTTTTATCCTATTCCTGTTGTGCTTGGGCTCCTGCTCATGAGGAGACTCTGGTCCTAATCAGAGTAGACCTGCTTAGCCCTGAGCTGTAATTCTCTGCAGGAACAGATCCCTGTCCACTTCCTGCCTTGCTCCTTTTCTTATCTCCACCTGTCTTGAGCCCTGTGTCCTACTTACTGTCTTTTTAACCTCTCTCAGGGGTTAAATGAAATACTGTACACTTAAACATTTCATTTCAACCTGTTTCTTTATGTCTTATGAAGTGGACATGTCCACAAAAGCTTACATTAAAGTACAGTATAATGGTTAGTCTTTTAAGGTGCCACAAGTTTTTATCTTTTTTTTTCTTGTCTTGTCTTGTTTCTTTGGATTTTGCCTGATATTCTTGCATAGGCTAATAGGGCTACCACTTCAAAGAAGTCTGCCATCCGTTTATTTCTTCTCTCTATATTGTTTCCGCCTTCATTCTCTCCTGGTCAGATAGTGTCCTTCCATTAGGAATTCAGCATTCCTAATTAGGGTTTCTCTTGAATTTCTTTAAACTTCTGGAAGAGATCGCTTGTCTCCCCCCACCCCCACCCCGTATGTTGTTGTCTTCTTTTCTCTGTGGTTTTTATGTTCCTTTTAAAAAACCTATGTGGAGTTACCTAAATAAACATAACATTGTCTTTCTTTATTTCCATTTATATAATCTGGCTTTGACCCAGGCAGAGGACCCCCTATCCAGATAAAAAGTGGGGCACAGTTACCTGGTGCTGACTTAGAATGGCCTTCGAGGTGAAGGTGCCATGTCTCTTCATCTAGATCATTCAGATAATTAAAAATCTCTATGCATATAAAGAAAAAAGTGGGTTTGGGAGGGAGGGGAAAAATTGAGACCAGAAACGTTAAATCACAAAACAGAACAAACAAACCACCCGCATAACAACAAAAAAGCATACCAACCCACTTCAGCTGAAAAAAGACCCCTGGTCCAGATAAAGAGCCACACAGAGTTGAAATCGGAAGGCCAAGCTTTCCTAGCCCGAAAGGGTTGCCCAAGGCCTTCAGTCCAATGAAGAACAGTCACAATTATCTCTGAGGTTACAGCCGAGTTCCTCTGGAGTGGCCCAAAGATCAAGGGGCTGCCCCTGAAGGCAAGCAAGGGCTACGGGATGGTCTAGGCCGGGCTTCCCTACAGCAGCTTCCTTGGATTTAAGAAGAGTTGGAGTTACTGCACTCCTCTCTCAAACCACTAGAGGGCAGTCAAAGTCTAGAAAAAGAGACCTTATGACAGATGAGCACAAACCGAACCATGAACCACAAAACCTGACAAATTGGACTGGTTCCTGGTTCGGTTTGCAACCCAGTGCAGGAATCCTATTTTGGCAAAGCAAAAGAAAGACCCAAACTTTTTTCTCTTTGGCATTTCATTTGTTTCAGCAAAATGGATGCCCACCTGCTCCTTACCACTGCCCTTGTCACCTCCACCGACCTGCCCTTGCCCCTGCTGCCTTTGCCACCATCGCCACCACCGTCAGAGGCAGTGGGCCAATTTCCCTTCCTGCAACTTCTACGCATGTGTCCACCTATCGCCTGAGCAGCGAGCACATGTGCACTGGCTCTGAGAAGGAAAGCTGGCTTGCTGGCTCTAAACGTTTCCCTGCACAAACTTTTTTTAAAAGCCCTGAACCATAACGAACCAGTTTTCTAGGTGGTGCCCATCTACAGACCTTATCCAAAATGTAGAGTAACTAATATTTCCTTCATCCCTGGATCCGATTCCTTCACACCATCACTGTGCAGTTGTATTCTCCCTCCCATATTTCACACTCCCCTTACCTTCCAGGTTTCTGAAGCGCAGTTCCTCCTGATCCCTGTTCTTGTTCAGATAGACATCAAGGACTTCATTTTAAGAGGCACGTGTTCGAAAAACATGTCAAGAAAGAGGACAAACACGTTATACAGTGATTTCACTCATTGTGGAAACAGTCATGAACACTCAATTGAAAGCTCCACAGATTCTGCAGAGAATGTCATTGGCATCACAGCCTCGACTGCTCATTATTCTCTTTAAATTTTTATCATGTACTTTTACAAGAAATGACTAACATTAAAAATGTATTATGTCGATGTTGAATGGCAGACGAGCTGTTTTGGATCTACATGTTTTGTTGCTGCGGAAAAGCAGCCCATTCATCTTGCAA